CTCCAGGTAGTGACTTTGCCATAACCAGCTGAGTTCTTATGATATATTCCTGCGGCCCGCAGCATTCCTAGAAGAGGCCTTGGGAAAAAAAATTATAAGGATAGGTCACAGGCTATACAGGTTGTACAAATGCAAGGCAAGACAGGAATTGGCTATTCAAATTTAGAGTAGGGACCACTGCCAGTAGCCCAACTTTGTGTCAATATTTTGTAAATCAACCGCTGGAAATGACTCATAAACAATTTTTTAAAATCTATTTAGTCTATTATTTATCATTATATGGATGACATTTTATTGGCTGCTTCTGATACAGTTACCTTAGAAAGAATGTTTAATGCAGTACAGAAAAATTTACCCTGTTGGGGATTACAAATTTTTCCCGAAAAAAAAAATGCAAAGAGGAGATTCTCTTAGGTATTTAGGCTATAAATTAGGTAAACTGAGAATTCAGCCATGAAAGGTACAGATTAGGAGAGATAGACTGCATACTCTTAATAATTTTTCAAAAATTATTGGATGATATTAACTGGTTGTGGTCTACAAATGGATTGTCTATTCAAAAATTAACTAATTTGTTTCAAATTCTGCAAGGTGAGCCAGATTTAAACAGTCCAAGACAGTTAATAGCTGAGGCTAAAAAAGAACCCTGGTGGAATGAAAATTACAAAATGCCTATGTGGATAGGTTAGACCTTACAAAGAGGTGTATTTTAGTAATTTTACCTTCAAATCATTCCCGTACTTGACTCACTATGTGGACAGAGGATTATATTTTGGATTTTTTTTTTTTTTAGCTCACATAGTAAAAAATTAAAAATCTATATAGAAAAAGTTTCTAAACTAATCATAAAGGGAAGATTAAGACTTTGTCAATTGTCATGTATGGATCCAGCTGAGATTATGGTACCCCATACCAATGCTGAAATTAGGCAATTTGTGAGAGATCTAACCTCACGCTAAAAGAGATGCTTATTAAATAGAAGGGGGATATGAGGACCCCCAGAGATAGACTACATAATACCCTACTAACTTAAAAATTTTTTAAATGCTAATGAAACAGGAACAAAATTGAGTTATGGAAAGAATTGCTGAATCGAGTCAGCCCATGTATTATAAATGTTTTAACATCTAAATAGTCCAGGGAAAGTGTTAAGTTAGGGCTGAGGCAATGCTTATGTTTCCTCAGGAGATAATAAATTGTAGATTCCATTGAAATCCAGCATGCACAAGAGAAATCTCCTGGATGCTGGGGCTGTAGAGATGCCTCTGTGAAAGACAAGACACTGGAGACTCTTGCAACAAACAACTAATCCTCCCACCTAGGGACAGCTTAAGAGTCTGTGTGACAAAGGAGAGAAGATTCTTCACATGACTCACAAGCCTCTAAATGCTACACTTATTTTTTTGCCATGCTTTCCTTGGTAATGGTGCAGGTAAAAGGGATGGATCATAATTATTGGGCTTTTATCCCCAACCCTCCAATTAACTTAGCAGTAAGTTGGGGAGATATGAATATTCCTGTAAAGGTTAATGAATCTTCTTGGTTACCTGGTCTTTATGACAACTGAGGTCCTGCTCAGCCAATGGAGGAGGGTAAAGTGATTGACAATTACATGGTTGGAGTACAAGGAATTCCTATTTGCATGGGAAATGGAATTCAATGCCTAAATATAACCTCTCAAGTATGGCTATCCATAGTCAACACTACCCAAGATTATCATTAAGTTTTATATGCTTCATGCATCCGGTTTTAAAGGACAGGCAATTAATGCTACTAGTTCCATAAATCTACCATTCTGTGAGATGAGGGTTACCAACAAGGAATCTGATTGGATACACTGGCAACAGTGTAAGAGTGAGAAACCATGAGTGCTAATTAATATCTCCAAAGGAGATGTCATTGATTGGAGCCCTTATGGATCCCCTCAAGGGAAATATTCTCACTCAGAGTTAAGACGGAAATGGTACAATTTAAATGGAACTGTGGAAATCAGTGTTTCTACAAATGAAACTATTCGGTGGCATGGAGTTGGAATGGCAAGTCCTCTCCTGTAATTTGGCAATTCAATTCAGATTAATTTGTGGAAATTGGCAAGTGCCTTCCACCCTCTTAAGGTGTGGGAATAAAAATTGAACATTAAGGATGATAAGTTCACTCTGTCTTTTAGACTAAATTAAAGCCATCCTCTTATGGCATGTGTATCATATCTTTACTTGCTATTAAAGGGGCCTGTACAAATGGTACCCAAATAATTATAGCATCATTTGTGAATGGTATACCCTTCATACCTGTGTTAATTCTAGTATGTTTTTAAATCTGACCTTTGAATGTTTATATATTCTTAGAGCAAGGCCAGCAATCTGGATACCGGTGAAGTTGTCGAGGCCATGGCAAGACTCTCCTGTGATGATCCTGGTATAGAAGCTCGTTGAAAGAATATTAAAAAGAACATGTCAAGTGGCTGGACTGGTGGTTGCAGTTATTATAGTAATCATTGCATTGACAGCTACAGCAGCAACAGCTGGATTGGCGCTTCATAAAGAAATCCAAACCGCTGAATTCATTAGAGACTGGCATAAACGGAAGAACTTTGGACTGAACAAAGTAAGACTGATAATGAAATAGTAAATGAATTAGCTGAGTTAAGGCAAGCTGTTGTATTGTTAGGGGATCAGTTAGAAATTCTGAAGGAGCAGATAAAATTAAAATGTGATTGGAATGTTTCTTCTTATTGTATCACACTCTTAAGATGTAATGAAAATATGATTGGGAAAAGGTTAAGATGCATTTGTTGAGTCTCCCTAATTCTTCCCAAATGATTTATGATTTACAGAAGAAATTAAAGAAGCTATTGCAAAAAAAGTTACCCAATATGGCAGGAATGGACATTATGGAAAGTCTAGCAGATACCATAGCCTCATTCAACCTCACAAATCACTTTAATAGATTTCTTATCCTGGTAGGTGTTGCTCTTGTTCTAGCAATAGTAACTTCATTGGCTTTAAAATGTGTTTTGGTCTACTTGTGTAAAATTGAAAGACAAATAGATGGAAAGAAGGCTATATTTACTGTGAGGCTGCATAACCTTCAAGAGAATTGATTTTTGTATAAAGAAAGGGGGATCTGTGGTTGCATTCCTGCTGAGCTACTCCCGGACTGGCTCCAGAGAGTAGCATCTAGTCTCAATCCATCTTTTGTTTAACCAATACCTTTTGTTTCTCTTGTTGCCCTATGTGAGTCTTGTCTGAGTCTCCCAAGGATACAAAGGCCTATGCAAAACTTGGTTCAGGAAACCTGGAAAACTGTGGTACCTTTTAAATAAATAGAGGAATTTGCCCTTAGCATTGTATTTTTGGGAACTCCTTTCAGGTTGTTTTGAGCATATGGAAATCAATTTTCCAAATTGTAAATATTGAGAAAATTAAATATGCCCTGGGTGAAGAGAAATTGCTTCAGTCTGTAGAGGCTGGGTGCCCCCTGCAGTCAAGAGAGGCTAGATTCATTCTTAAGGTGCCTCTGAGTCTTCTTTCCACAGATCCGTGTGAACCCACATACCCGTGCCTTGACACTTCGAGACACTTGTGTCTCAATTAACACTTTGCAAGAAAAGATAGTACATTCTATTTACATTTCACACTGGGAAGGTCAGTGCAGCCTTAATGAAGAACACTATTTTGTCTTGATGCTCTCTACCCACCCTTCCTGGGGCTGCAATTCTCTAGAACTTCCTTTTAATATTTCCTTTCTCATCTGGTCAGTACCACTACTCTTCAGCCATTCATTTCCCTAGGCATTCTGCCACTCATCCCAACTAATGGCATTATTACAGCTCAGAGCATGGAGTCTCCCCACCCCTTGTAGAGCAACAAGGTATGAACACTCCCGAGGTGGATGGACTGCACAAGCTTAAAAAAAGAGTAGGTGTGAACGAAATAAAGCCTTTAACAAGACGGGCACAGATTGCTAATGCTAGGTAAGCATCGGTTTCCTCATTTCTCCTGTTAATACCTGATGACCATGCATATCCCTCCCTCCATTGACTCCTTCCCTAAGATCTTGAACTCCTGATCATCCAGTCTTCTCCGCCCTACCGAGATTACAGGTGTGGACCACACGCCTGGTTTATGTGGGGCAGGGGATGTTAGAAGAGCCCCAGCCCCCCTTTCACTATTTGGAAAGGATCGAGAAGATGGTTTTCCTCACCTGAAGTTCTTTCCAACATTTATCTTGGTTCCTACCCAAGCACAAAATCCAGGGCATTTGAAACACAAAACAAGTGTAATCCAAAACTTGGAACACTGCTGCTAACTCGTCCTGACTTCGTCAGCCCCCGTCCCCAGGGTCATTCTCAAGTCCTCGGTAGAGCTTGCCGGAACAGGGTGCGCTCAACCCGGAGCTTCTTCCAACACTAGCGACGCTCAGAAATCACCCGCCTGCCTCAGACCCTAGGAGGCTGCGCTGAGGCTCCCTCCAGCGCGCGCCCCCTCGCGGCTCGGGGGCCACGATCTACTTCCTGCCCCTGCGACTTGGAAGCGGAAGAGCGGAGAGCCGCACTCAGCGACGACTTTTCCGCCGGGTGCCCGCAACTGCACACAACCTTCCTGCGACGAGAATCTGCTTCCAGAGCAGAGTGGGAGGGGCCGGGCCCTGGGCAGGGGGCGGGGCCTCGCGGAAGGGGGCGGGGCGGGACGGACGCGGG